TCCAATATCTGACAAATGCAAAAGATCTGATCTGTAGTTCATCTGTTACGTCGAAACCCACTCTGATGATCCCCAATAATTTCATCTATATATGGACTTAACCTTTAAAGAAGAATATTGGACAAAATTTTGTATGAAGGTTATAGCAGTGATGTCCCCCGATAATTACTACAGTCAGTTTTATCACCCTTCTTGTGAACAAGTACAATAATAGACTTCTTCCACTGATCAGGCAATTTTTCCTTATGCCAAATAGAAGTAATTAGATTGTGGATCTTAGAATGTAATATTTCGCCTCCTGCTTGAATAAGTTCTGCCGGAATTTGATCACTACCTGGCGATTTATACCGTTTCAATTTTGCAATAGCACTTTCAACCTCAAAAGGGCTAGGATCAGGTATTAACGGCTCAGCTGTATGGATTTCTGTCTGCCTAACAGCACTGACCCTATGTACATTCAATAACTGAGAGAAGTAGTTCCTCCACCTATTCAAAATGTTGTGGGAATCTGCAAGCAGATCACCATTCTCATCCTTCACTAAGTTACTGCTAGGCTGGTAACCCCTTTTAAAGTCATTTATTCCTCTATACAGGTCTCTAATGTTCTTGTTCTTACTGTTCATTGCAAGCTCATCAATTTTGTCTTTCAGATATTCCCTCTTTTTGTTCCTGAAATGCCTGCTGGTTTCACATCTTATATTGTTCAGATTATCCCCATTTAACTCGCTTGGATCCTGTAACCATTGCAATTTGGCCTGCTTTCTTTGATCTAATAATTTTGAGCATCCTTCATCGAACCATGGCTTATGCTTCTTCGGTTCATAATAACCTAGACTCTCTTTGGCAGACATTTTTATATTCTCTCTAATAGTTTCCCAAGCTTTATTAACATCCACCTCAGTTTCCAAGTTTTCCAAAGCCGTAAACCTATTTGAGATTTCAACACGATACTGCTCTTTACCCTCTACCTCATTTAATTTCTTGAGATTGAACCTCTCCATATGAACTCTGTGTGTTGTTTGTTTGCTCACTGCCAGTCTTTCCCTAACCTTTGCCACCACCAGGTAGTGGTCAGTATCACAATCTGCTGCCCTGAATGATCGGACATCAAGTATACTTGAGTGCCGTCTCCTATCTATCAAAATATGGTCTATTTGATTGTGTATCTTCCCATCAGGAGATGTCCAAGTAAATTTATGGATGTTACGATGTGGGAACATTGTACTTTTGACAGTAAGATTTTTTGATGTGGCAAAGTTTACTACTCTAACTCCATTATCATTACTAATTTCATGCAAACTCTCATTCCCAATTGTTGGTTTGAAAATGTCTTCCCTCCCTACTTTGGCATTGAAATCTCCTAACAAAATTTTCATAGGGTACTTCGGGAATTTATCAAATACATGTTCTAGTTCTTCATAGAATCTATCCTTTATGTCATCAATTCTATCTTCTGTTGGGGCATGAACATTCCTAACAATGATATCACACCAGCGACCTTTTAGTATTATATATGATAACCTATCACTAATGAATTCTATCCTCTTAACTGCTGATACGAATCTCTTATGTACGAAAAAACCTGTACCTAATTCATGATTTTCATTCCCCTTTCCATAGAAAAATGTATAGTCTCCTGCTGGTGCGATGCCACCTCCATCCCATCTGACCTCCCCTGTACTCCCGCTAAATCTGACATATATTTCAAGATTTCTTCTGCCACTGCCCTGAGCGAACCTGTCCTATATAAACTTCGTACATTCCAAGTGTCAAATCTCATATCCATTTTCATTAGCTTAGGCCGTTTATCCAAGGAATCAGTCCA